CCAGAAAACCAATCGCGCCCTCAATGCCGCCTGCCTCTCTCTTCAGTGGACAGCTCAGCAGCTCAGGTTGGTCATGTTTATAGTTTTCCAAATGGGCCGCCCGGCACGGCACGGCACGGCACGGGCACGGGCACCGCCAGGCACGGCACGGCGAGGCACGACACTATGCGGCACGGCGGCCCACCGTGCCGTGCCTGATAGTGCCACCGTGCCAAAGTGGCAGCCCAGGCACGGCACTATGAAGTGCAAGCCGTGCCAGCAGGCACGGTGGCACGCCAGTGCCCGTGTGAAGGGTCGAGATGGCGGACTAGAGGGGGGGTGAATAGTCTTTTCTAAAATTAATCGCGTCGGCTAACCGATATAAATGCGGAATTAAAACAATCGGTCTAGCCAAGACTACACCCCTCTATATATGTTTACTAGCACCTTGCAAAGATACTAATAAAGCAACTAAGGTGCCGGGCTAGCTAGAGCTCTCCTAAACAATTCTAGGAGTAAGGTCACACAAACCTATGCCACTAGTACTTTAAGTAACAAGGGAGCTCCTACACATGCTAGTAAGCAAAAGCACAAAGCTAACTAAGCTCACTAGCAATGCTCAATAACAAGGCAACCAACGCCTAATTAGAGAGCGCAAATACTTAGCTACACAAACTAAGCAATGTGACTAACAAGGTTACTAAAACCAAATTAGCCATGCATTAAGGGAGCTACTTCTATGCTACACAAACAAGAAGGTAATTAGCTAGCTACACAAGCTATCTAATTACAAGAACAACTACACAAGCTTAAGATATATATATATATATATATATATATATATATATATATATATATATATATAAGTAATTGCGAGCTTGTGTAATGGGGATGCAAACCAACGGGAAGAACAAGGTTGACACGATGATTTTTCTCCCGAGGTTCACGTGTTTGCCAACACGCTAGTCCCCGTTGTGTCGACCGCTCACTTGGTGGTTCGGTGGCTAATTAGCATCACCCGCTAAGCCCCACATCATGGCAGCGCCGCAAGAACCTACCCCTTGAGTGAGGGTAGCTCAATGACACGCTTTACTAGAGTTGCTCTTGGCGGCTCCATGGCGAAAGCACAATGCCCCTCACAAGCACTTCTCCGGGCGCCGCACAAGCTTCTTGCTGGCGCTTCGACGGAGACCACCACCAAGCCGTCTAGGAGGTGGCAACCTCCAAGAGTAACAAGCACCACCGGCTCACAACTCGATCACCTATTGCCACTCGATGCAACCTCACAATGCAATCGCACTAGAATCGCTCACTCACACAATCGGATGATCGCTATCAAGTATGTGTGTGATGGAGGCTCCCAAGCACTCACAAGCATGGACACTAAGTCCCTTGAGGTGCTCAAGACTGACCATGGCCGAGGGCCACTTCTATTTATAGCCCCAAGGGCTAAACTAGCCGTTACCCCTTCTTTGGGCAGCGGTCGGGACGACCGGACGCTCGATCGTCCGATCGGCCGGACGCTGGACCTCGGCGTCCGTCGTGCGATGCACGCCACGTGTCCCCTCCTTCAAACGCTGTTCTTTGGATCTCAACGGTCATCGTCGATCGGACGCCCAAAGATGAACCGACCGGACGCGACAATTCCCGGCGTCCGGTCGTTTTCGAGAAGTACCGACCTCGGACCGGACGCGTCCGGTCACATTTGATCGGACGCAGCCGGCGTCCGGTCACACTCCGGCTTCTGCGACATCAGTCGTCGACCGACCGGACGCACCCGGCGTCCGGTGCATTTCAGATCCAGCGTCGTCGGTCGGTTGACCGACGCCCGACATCTTCGCGACTAACTCGTTTTCACTTCTAACTTCATCACCCTTGCTCCAATGTGCTAACCACAAGAACTTGCAACCCAAGCGCAATAAAATAGGCATTCTATTTTCCGAAAGCGTCGAATCCCGCCTCATAAGCTCGGTGGGAGGGAGAGAGGACCCAAACCCATCTCACCCCTCGCAAACACCACCTCCTTTGTAAATGTGCCAACACCACCAAGTGTACACCACCATGTGTATGTGTGTTAGCATTTTCACAATCATTTCCCAAAGGATGTTAGCCACTCAACTTGCCACGCCACTCGATCCTAGCGACAATGCAAAGTTAGATCACTCGAGTGGCACTAGATGACCGATATGCAAACAAGTTTGCCCCTCTTGATAGTACGGCCATCTATCCTAAACCCAGTCATAAACTTCTCTACACACCTATGACCGGTGAAATGAAATGCCCTAGGTTATACCTTTGCCTTGCGCATTCCATACCATCTCCTCCAATGTCGATGCAACACATGCACCAACACTATCAACAATGATATGATCCACTTCATATCATCACGTGATCATATTGGTTCATCGATCTTGACTTCACTTGCCCTTCACCGTTGCCATCGTCCATCGGCGCCAAGTCTTGCTCAAGCTTCACCGCCACGCGGTCCATCACTCCAAAGCCTTCGACTTGCCCTTCACGCTTGCAACCGGTCCATCAAGCCAAGTCTTGTCTTGATCTTCTCCACCTTGATCACATGACTCAATGTCATGTCTCATGTGCAATAAGCTCCTTCATCATCACATGTGTGAGCTTTGCAGCATCTCCAAGCCATTTTCACCTCCATGGCATATGTTGCTCACACACATTACCTGTGGACTAATCACCTGTGTATCTCACATAAACACAATTAGTCCACCTAGGTTGTCACTCAATTACCAAAACCAACAAGGACCTTTCACCGTGCCGGCCCAGGCACTAAACACATTTTAAGTAGCACTTCATCAGTTCAAGATTGATGTAACAAGCATAATTTGGAATCAAAATTATCAGAAAAAGAACCGGAGAAACAAAAACAGAGCAAACACACAAGAGTTAAGAAAATAGGAATATGGGGTCCTCTGCGCCAGCTCCACCAGGTACAGCTCCACGGCCGAAGAGCTCTTCTACCTCTTCGTCGCCCATGTCGTCGTCATCGTCATCACCAGGGAGGTCGCGGACCCTCTCCATCTCATCCGCCATGGCAGTGGCACTAGCCTCCACCGTGTCCTCAGAGACAGAGGGAGGCTGGGACGGCATCCTCACTTGCCCTGGCCTCAAACGTCTGCCAAAAGAAGAAGAAAGGAAGAACATCAGTCAAGAACTCAAGATTCAAGAAAAGAAATCAAGAACGGAGCAGATCTGAGCTAGGGTTAGGGTTAGGCTTCGGAGCTAGGGTTAGGGTTTCTTACCTAGACGTCGCTTGGCCAAGACGGAAAAGCCAATGGTGAGCTCCTAAGCGAATGGATCCGTGGATCTGCGCTACGGAAGAGGGAGTGAGTCAGTGACAGTGAGAGAAAGAAGAAGAGCAGAAGGGTATGTTACCTGCATCGTCGGAGCTCCAGAGCTGCGGCTGCCGGAGGACGAGAGGAGGAGGCGGGTCATGAGGGGACGCACGGCGAAGTCATTGCCGCCTTGGGAGGGGCCGTTGCCCTTCGCCACCGTCGTCGGAGAGGGCGAGACTGCGAGAGCCAGAGAGGAGAGGAGGGACGGAGGGAGAGGCGGAGAGCGTTAAATGATTTAGGGTTTGTGAGCGGCCGAGCGGGGGAGGCCGGCCGGCTTATATACGCGGCGGCGCCGTTGCCCTGGATCCAACGGCCATAATCCATCAGGGGGGGATCGGACGGCTGAGAGTTCACTGGATAGCGGGCCGTTAGCGGGCGAACCTCTTTACCGCAAGTTGCGTGCCCGTGCTTGGCCCATGGGCGAATTGGCACCGTGCACGCGAGCACGGGCGGCCGTGCCATGCTGCGGCACGCAGGTCGCCGCCGGCGGGCGTGCTTGGGCCGTGCTTTCTCGGGCCGTGCCTTGGCCGGCCCATCGTGCCCGGCCCATCTGGAAAACTATAGTCATGTTTCCTTTCCTCAGGTACGGTATCGGTCTCTACTATTGCAGTGCAGATAGATCCCACCCTAGCTCACATAGGTGGACCCTGGGCCCATCTTTTATGGGCCCTTAAGGTCCACTACAACTCCCAAGCTGTTACGTTCAATTAGAAGGGGCAGCCACGCCGTAAATGCGCGATGGAAGCGAGGCGACGCTCCTGCCTTCGTCCTCACTCCCTGAGATCCCTTTTGCATCTGGCAGGGGAAGCAGCGAAGCGCTGCGGCGGCCGGCGACCTACCGCAAGGTGCAAGCTGTGCCGGAGGCCGGAGCACCACGACTGCACATCTCCACGGTCTGCTGCTGACGACAAGCAGCTAGAGGTGCATCTCTCAGCGAGTGTCAAATTGGTCTTCTCACTTAGTAGCAATGGCAGACCGACAGAGGAGACTTAGCTAAGTAGGTAATTTGGGAATAATTTGATAGCTGGTGATCTGGTTCATTCCTTCCATTCAGCGTTTAATTAATGTCATAATTCTGAAATTTGATTCAGGGATGAGGCGTTTTTTGGTTGATACGAGGAATCAATGCACTGGAGTTCATGAATTTGAGAGAAACTCAAACTTGGAAGAGCCACGTGATGGTGAAGTCCAGATCAGCAGCAACCAGAACCAAATATCGGCAATGTAACCAGTGAGTTTGATCCTAATGAAATTCTCTGTGATCTGGCTCTTAGAAAACAAATCTATGAGTATGCTCCTGAAATTCAAGACCAAGTTAGAAGAGCATATATATTAACCACAAGGGTCCTACACAGCCAACAAATCTGATTTTTCCCCCCCACACAATTTGAGATTGGTGATTATAGAGGTTTTGTTATATCATGGTACAATTGGCTAGAGTATAGTGAGTCCAGAGATGCTGGTTTTTGCTTTTATTGCTTTCTTTTCAAGCAACCGGGAAGCGCAGAACATTTTGGTCATGATATCTTCGGTAAAACATGCTGGAGAGATTGCAAACATGTGAAGTCTAGATTGAACACCTTGGGAGAAAGTGGCTGGGATGACTTATTTGAAGAAGCAAAACAATTTTGTGCAGCAAAGAGTATTTCAGTCCCAGATATGTCTGCAGAGATACCAGTGAGGGGTCGTTCAAGGCGTGATGGATTTACTGTCACTAATCTTCATCATTATCGTGCTGAAATTTTCTATGTTGTTGTTGACAAAATATGTGCTGAGATGAATCATCGGTTTAGTGAAGCGACTACAGAGATATTATTGTGCTTCTCTTGTCTTGATCCAAGTAACTCTTTCTCCAAGTTTGATGTCAACAAGCTTGCACGACTTGCTGAAATATATGATGCTGATTTCTCTGATCATGACCGTGGAATAATAAGGGAAAAACTTGAGACATGTTCTTCAGGTAAGGAGGCATGCTGCCTTTGCTAATTGTACAGATATTGAAAGTTTGGCCACAAAGATGGTTGCAACAGAAAAACATTTGGTTTTTTCATTGGCGTACAAGCTCATTGAATTGGCATTGTTGGTGCCGGTATCAACTGCTACTGTGGAAAGATTGTTCTCAGCCATGAAAATTATTAAGTCCAAATTGCCGAACAAGATTGCAGATGATTGGTTCAACAACTTGATGGTGTGCTATTTTGAGCGAGAACTATTCAGATCACTGGAAGAAGCTACTATTCTTCGAAGGTTTCAAAATTTGAAGACTAGAAAGATGCAACTTCCCCCTAGTCGTATGCTTGGTAGTTAGAAACTAGCGTGTGATTTTTTTTCTGTTAAATTTTACTCTCCATATCCATGATGTGAACATGTGTTGCAACATGATTTTGGTTAAGTCTAATGAGCTTGTCAACTTGTCATATTTTACTTTGTACTGTGATCTATGTTTCTAAGCGCTTGTTATTTAGACTGTTAGTCGCTCAAATTTCCTGGGTCCGCCACTGCTAGCTCACACCATCACTCATTAATTTCTACCGCAGGATGATAGTCTCCTTCCTCGGTTCCTCCGATCCACATTCATCAACCTCCGATCAAGTATTAATATTTATACATACATATACTATGTTCTATGCAGTATATTAATTATTCTTTATTCCCTTACCAGTTAGGAGTATAAAGCATGCTGCCACCATGAATTATTGTTCATTAAAAAGGAGCGCCTTCAATACTATGAGCTACTACTAGCTCTAATACAACTTCTCCAATAATATTAACTTCTTGTATATAGCTCATAACATGAATACCTTCACATGACACTATCAAGTAATCTTGAAATGTGTGCATGGGGTTAGCTTTTGATCAAGAGCTAGCTTTTCTCACTCTAGTATTAAAACATGAAAAATATGTTTAGAGCTACGGGTCGCTCATAAATTATCATCTCATAAATAATAAAAGAATAATTATATTAATTTACGTATGTTTTCTCTTTGTCTATTTTCTAACACGAGTGGCATACAATAGATACCATGTAGTCACTGTTTAGGCCCTAGTTGAGTTCCAAAGCTGGAGGCGCCCCCCGGGCGGCAGCCCCTGGCCAGGCACGACTGCAGGCCGGTGCTCCCTCCGTCCATTGGCCATGACGCCTGCAGCCGACGCAGGGAGCTCTCCAGCCGGTGGGCAGCAGTCCAGCACCCCGCCCACGGGCGCAGGCACGTCGGTCGGCAGTGGCGGCTGGGGATGGTCAGAATGGAATGCTTCTGTGTCTGTCGCTTTAGGGCCAGGGTGGAGGACTATTGAAGAAGTCAGTTATGTTCGTTTCTGTGGCTTATAAGCCAGCTGATGCTGTTTTGTTGTGAGAGAAAAACACTGTATCATGGCTAATAAGCATGACTGATATGATCAAGCGAACATGGTGTATACCTTGAAGGTATAGAAAGCATTTTGCAGCACACAATGTAGGTGACAAATCAACTTCAGAATCTAATGATTGGAATATCGATAAATTCTGAGATGACCTTGCACGGGCAATATATCCTTCTAGATCAACGTGAGCATATATGTTTGTATTATAGAATTACACGTATCATGACTTTGCACAGTTAACGGGTCGTTCCTATGCAAAAAAAAACACACACACACACACATTAAATATTGGTTGCTAATACTTTGTGTTATTTTAAATTATATTTTTAATTTAAATTTACTCCAATAAAAAATCATATAGAAACATACAGCTCTGGATGCTAGTACAAGTCAAATAGACAAGGTTATTGGACAACTGACATCTCTCAGCCATGCATTATAAAACAGGCACATTGTTTTGTCAAACAGTGTACCAAAACAGCTTCATCTCCACTGGTGGAGCTGTTCGTCGAGCTGAAGAAAAAAAAAACAGCTAGCTCCACCAGTGAAGTGGAGCCGTGATAAACGGGGTTAAGTGAAACTGCATCGATGAACTACCATACATATGCATAGATCTCTCTCTCAGTGTCACAGTGTGTATGCATATAGGGTCAAGTTTTCATCTGAAATCATCACGCCAGTCGCTAGCGACGATAAAATTTGAGCCACATTTTTTCTTGCACTTTTGTGAGTGTACCATAGGAGGCAAGAGGGTAGCAGCAGCCTAGCACTTACTCTATCTACTGTGACGCAAGTGTGATGCAATGTGTGTGTCAGACATTACACTAAAAAAGAAAACCAAGTTGTAGCTGATGACTGATGAGAGAGAGTGATGGGGAATCACTGTTTTTTTCCAAACCTTTATTTAAAATTAGTCGCAAATAGCATTGCCTATTTGCGATGTATATTTGGTATAGATACTCTGTGTGACTTGTAGCCTGTTCGCTTGATCGTATTCGGCTTATAAGACATGACTTATCAGCCAACGAATAATATTTTTTTCTCACACCAAATCAACCAACAATACTTTTAGCCATGTTTTATAAGCCAAACGGCCAAACGAACATGGCGTTGTTTTTTCCTCAAAAGTTAGCAACCGGCAAGAACGTAGCCCGTGTGACGTTCTAGCAAGACCCTCAGAGTTTGCCGGTCTTTTGTTTTACTTTTATCTTCTACAATTTGACGGTTCCTTCTCCCAGTCCCAGTCATACATAACTCCATGTCTCCATAAGAAGCCCATATAGATGTAGTCGTCCTCAGCTCGCTCCAGTTTTCTTCTTCGTTGCACAGTTTTCCTGCTGCGTGCATGCGGATAACATTTTCCGGTCGTAAGGAGAGCAAGTACGTTTTCCCACTTATTACCAGAGCTAGTAGAGTAGTATTTAGTTCAACAACTTGATTGGTTCAACAACTTGATGGTGTGCTATTTTGAGCGAGAACTATTCAGATCACTGGAAGAAGCTACTATTCTTCGACGGTTTCAAAATTTGAAGACTAGAAAGATGCAACTTCCCCCTAGTCGTATGCTTGGTAGATAGAAACTAGCATGTGATTTTTTCTGTTAAATTTTACTCTCCATATCCATGATGTGCACATGTGTCGCAACATGATTTTGGTTAAGACTAATGAGCTTGTCAACTTGTCCACGGCGATCTCTGCGGGCCAATCACGCCAGCCACAAACGGTGGTCGGCAGTACTTCCTCCTACTCGTGGACGATTGCAGTCGCTACACGTGGCTGCAACTCCTGACGAGCAAGGACGAAGCGGCGGCGGTGATCAAGAAGTTCAAGATGCGCGCGCAGGCCGAGAGCGGCAAAAAGCTCCGCACGCTGAGGACTGATCGCGGTGGCGAATTCACTTCGGTGGAGTTCGCTGCGTACTGCGCGGATCAGTGTGTGGTGCGACACCATACCACGCCGTACTCGCCACAGCAGAATGGCGTGGTGGAGCGACGGAACCAGACGGTGGTCGGCATGGCTCGATCCATGATGAAGGCCAAAGGTATGCCGGCAAGGTTCTGGGGTGAGACGGTGACCACAACGGTGTTCATCCCCAACCGCGCTTCCACCAAGGCCCTAAAGGGCAAGACGCCGTTCGAAGCTTGGTATGGGCGCAAGCCGAACGTGTCCTTCTCCAAACATTCGGCTGCATTGGCCACGTCAGGAAGACAAAGCCGGTCCTGACCAAGCTGGATGACAGAAGCATACCAATGGTGTTCCTGGGCTATGTGGAGGGTACCAAGGCGTACTGGCTCTACGACCCACGTGGAGACAAGGTGCTTGTCTCGTGAGACGTCGTGTTCGACGAGAAGATGGCTTGGGACTAGAACAGTCTGAGCTGGGGGAAGCTAGCGGCTTCACCAGCACTTTTGTCGTCGAGCACTTGATCATCCACGGTGGTGGAGACGCTGGGGAAGAGGCGCCGAGCACTCCGGGAGGGGTGCTGAGCACTCCAGCAACATAGCCGAGCACTCCAGGAGGGATGCCGAGCACTCCGGAAGAGGTGCCGAGCACTCTAGGAGTGGAGCCAGGAGGTCCTACAGTGGTGACGACCACTCCAGGATAGGTGCCGAGCACTCCCATAGCGGAGCCGAGAAGCCTTGCAGTGGTGCCGACCACTACAAGACTAAGGCTAAGGACTCCTACAGTGGTGCCGAGCACTGCAGGAGTGATGACGAGCTGTCCAGAAGTAGTGCCGAGCACTGCAACCGGGGTGCCAAGCACTCTAGGTGCTATGCCGAGCACTCCAGCAGAACAGAGAACTCCATCAATGCTGATCGAGTTCGTCTCACGTTCAAGTGACATCACTGAGTTCGTGGATGCCTTCCACGTAGGTGAGGAGGTGCGGTTCCGCAGGCTGGACGATATCGTCGGCGGCACAGGGCCCTCAGGCCTGGCGGGTAGGCTGCTCAATGACCCAGAACTGCTGCTCGTCAGTGTAGAGGAACCACCCACGTTCGCGCTAGCCGAGCGCGATGGAAACTAGCTACGGGCGATGCTAGAGGAGATGAAGGCGATCGAGGAAAACAAAACTTAGTAGCTCGTCGATTCACCTCCAGGATGCCGTTCGATCAGCCTGAAGTGGGTGTATAAAGTCAAGCGGGATGAGCAAGGGGCCATTGTCAAGCACAAGGCACGCCTCGTCGCCCGAGGCTTTGTCCAGCACGAGAGCATCGACTTCAAGGAAGTCTTTGCGCCGGTAGCGCGCATGGTGTCTATCCGATTGCTACTGGCTTTGGTAGCAGCAAAGGATTGGCGCGTCCATCACTTGGACGTAAAATTAGCCTTCCTCAATGGCGAGCTGGTGGAGACAGTCTTCATTAGGCAACCTCCAGGTTTCACCATCAAGGGAGCGAAGCACAGGGTGCTCCGACTGCGCAAGGCGCTCTACGGGCTACAGCAGGCCCCATGAGCATGGAACGCCAAGCTTGAGGCCGCGCTGGGCGAGTTTGGGTTCATGAGGTGCGAAACCGAGCATGTGCTCTACACACGGCGACAGGGGAAGGAGGAGCTCGTCATCGGCGTGTATGTGGATGACTTGATTGTCACCGGCACGCGCACGGAGGACATCGACAGCTTCAAGTACGAGATGGTGGCTCGTTTTCGAATGAGCGATCTCGACGCGCTCTCCTACTACCTTGGTATCGAGGTGAGACAGGGGAAGGAGGCACTCACACTCGGTCAGAGCGCGTATGCTCCAAGCTGTTGGAGCAGAGCGGAACGACTGAGTGCAAGCTGTGCGTGACTCCGATGGAGGAGTGGTTGAAGCTGACGAAGGCCAGCACCGCGGTGAAGGTGGATGCAATACTCTACCGGAGTAACATCGGCGGTCTGCGCTACCTAGTCCACACGAGGCCGGACATTGCGTTCACCGTGGGCTACGTCAGTCGCTTCCTGTAGGATCCCAGA